TCACCATCTCGCAGCCCGGCGACGGAGCGATGCACCTCGCACGCACGTCCTTCTGAACGGCAAGCGGTCAGAAACAAACGGCGCTCTTGGAGGGTGTGATGGATAAGGGACGATGGTTTCATTGCCTCCGTCTCCGTGGTGGGCATCCTCTCGGGTGTTGGGGGTGGGGGCGCGGGGGCTGCCCTCTCAGCCGTGGCTGCTACTTTGTTGTTACGCTTGACAAGCGGAGACGGATATTCGTAGGCGGCTTGGCGATCTGTAAGTGGAGGGGGGCCTGAGCTGATCGCGTATGGGCATCTGTTAGGAAGCTGCTTTTAAATCTAGATTGGAAAACTGATTTTGTGTTCAGTTTGTTGTCCTTGAACTGCACCTCCGCTCGGCACGGATGGCTACGTACGGTGTGAAAGAAGTTCAACGCACATACGTGCACCTTGCGTGGGTCGTGCGACGGGAAGCCGTGGTCCATGAAGTCCCCAGGGAGTGACGCTGGAGTGTTGCGGTGGACGCTTGTTGTTTCACGAGTCTCGGTGGTGCGTGCGCGTCACCAAACCACCCCCTGGAATCGAGTCGGCTCTCGGAAGCCGAGCTTGGTTGAGCCTGGATAGTGCTTGAAAATTGCTGGCCAAATGCGTGATCGGTGTTATCGGCCACGGGGCTCCATTGCGAGCAATGCAAAAAAAATGTATATCTATACAGCTATGCTTCCCATATCCATATGCTTAGGGGCCCTTGTAGGCAGGGGACAGCTGTCGCCTGATGAAGCTAGTTGTAATTACTGGCGAAACGTCGTGCTCAATGTCAATCTTGTGGCTTGGCTCTCCAACACACGGGTCTGCTGTACTAGTGACGAATTGGCCACGTTCTGTTTACGTGACAACCCTTACTAGTTGGCCGTGTTGGGTGGTGGCAGGTTTAACGACACATTTATATATTTACGCGATCTAACCCGTAAAAAACCTCTTATGGATGATATTGGTCGCGAAAGCCGACGTGTTGAACTGGTCTTTGTTTCATCACCCTGTATGACTAAATCATCCGGAACGTGCTCATCTCGTCAAATGCCAGAAGCTAAGCAGGCTAGAGGCTGGACATGGCTTGGGTGGGCGACGACAACGTGCCACTCCGTCGTCTCTTCATCCCCGCCTTCACCAACACACACGGATCGACAGAAAGGCGCCGTAAATTATTAACGCAGGTTGAGTGAGACAGTTTTATGTCGGTGAATGTGGGTGGGACAGCACAGGCTGTGTGACGATATGTTACGTTCGGTATTATGCACTGACAGGCCAATAACCAAATCAGCCGGTGCGTGGATTCTGACACTGGAGATTGGTGAATGATGAGGGGGGGAGATTGCAGCTTCCTGAAATAAACTATTTTGTTTGCGTCTCTACGCTAAAATAAAAAAAGGGCACGATGTTCGTTTCTATATTAAAAAAAAGTTCACATTATGCTCCACAATTAATTAACATGCATCCCCCCCTCTTCCCTTTCCTTGACATCTAATGATTAATCCTCTGCTGAATGCAGGCCTCCCTGAGTCGCCATCTCTTGTGATTTTGCACCGCAAAAATCCTGCACTTCCACACGAGCTGATTCCGTCACTCCATCTCTCCACAGCGGACATCCGCCTGGTCGCGAAAGCCCACGTGTCAAACTGATCCTCCTGGGATCGCGTTACCTCCTCTCCCGCGCCGTCGTTAGTCTCGACCGCCCGCCCGTCCGTCGTCACCTTGTGTGCCAACATATCCTGGCCCAAGCCCACTTACTTTTCTTGACGGTCAATAATTATTTCTGGAACTTTTGCAAGTGGTCCCCTAATCCATGCGTTTTGACATTCCTGTGCCTCTAAGGGTGTGTCTCTTCTTCGCCCTTCTTTGCACGCCTTTCAGCGTTTCCCTCCACTCTCTTTGTCAATGTCCGTATTTTTTCGATCCATTTGTTATTTCGCCAGTAATGTACACTGTACACGTGTATATATACAAGTATATCATAATGAGCGTTAGTTTGCACCGTTGCCGTATTAGCAATGCTGAGCCGCAGTCTTGGATTCTTCCTCCAAAATGCGCAGCAGTTACTCGGGTAGGAGCATCAGCGGATGTATTTTTCATGACGTGTGTAGGGGAATAGCGCTTTGTTTTGGAGGCTGATTGCCCGTCGAAAGTGGCTTGGCGTACACTGCATTCTACATCTGACAAATGTAATGATTGTGCGCCCTGAAACTCTGTTACAGTCCTTGCTGACATGCAGTGTATACATGCGCAGTAATGCACTGTTACGTTATTGCTGCTTCGATGATTGCATTTTTGTTCACGAACCCACACTGACCAGCGTGGTGAAGTATAGTCAAACAACACCCACGATCAACAGGGCGTGGGAAGCCCTACGTTCAGCATTGGACTGACAAGGGGCTGTGCGTTACTCAGCTATGGTGAATTGTTAAAGCAGGTTATGTATGGAACTGGAAAAAGCCATTACAATGCCAGTATCAAATAGCCAAATCACTCCTAATGCTTAGCTGGATTTGGGTGACTACCATGCATCACAGTTTGTTATTGGCTGCTGCGGAACTCTATGCTGTAGGAAGTAGAAAGCAGTGGAGAAAAATCAGTTTTTGTGCTCTACTTCCACACTTTCCCATCTGTGCTCTGTGCAATCAGCAACCCTGCTGACCAGCGCAGAGAATTATCGTCAACTGGGCTGCATGGCATGGAGGCCTTCATCCAGCAGTGTATCAATACAAATCAATTTGCTTTTTTTCAGAACGTGTGTGTGTGTATAGTCAAGGGTTTACTTCATTATAAAAGCAGTGTAATGATTGCCCATGCTTCATCCTAGCCCACAGAGATTTCAGCTGAATACAATATATTTCGTTGAAATTGTGATTGGATGTTTCTACACAGAGCGAGACATTGTATAATTCTGAGAATGCTGAGCCAATACCGGAGACTTCATAATATAAGTAATAAATAAATCGATAACAAATCTTGTGCCAATCCATTGTTGGTTGATGGCCTCTCCACACCATATAATTTGTGGGTGTTTTTTTTACTCTACTTCACCACGTTTGGAGAGGTCCTTCATCATTCAAGCAGTGGATTGACCGTGGCTGATGATGATAATGATTGGAGGCATCCTAATCGGATTATCCTCTGCATAGCAATCCTTTCTCATTGTAAGGATGAATGCCCCGGAAGGCTTTAAACAATAAACTATCCTCTGAATTTCTATGAAAGTAATACAATTGCCGCAGTGGGTTTATTACAACTTAACCACAATAAGAAAAGTGTCAGTATTTTAAGTTTTGGATTTAGGAGGCATATTCATTCACAGAATGTTAAATCACAATTACCATCACCTCCTGCCACTGAGCCACCCTCCGCAAATAACACGTGGTCTTTTACTGCTAAAAAAACTGAACCAAAACAAAATTCAAAGAAAGCAGCCTGGCCTTTAAAAAAAATAAAGCATCCATTTCCCACCGGAAAGAATTGGCAGTAGTGACGGCATTAGTTTGGGAGAAAGCAATTTAAATTCATAAAGCATTTGAATTATGCAATACAAAATTGTCCGTATGAGTGCCAATAGTATGACAAGAAAAATTTTGCATTTGTGGAAATTCTTCATGCAGTGGTGCGGGTGAGAAAGAGAAAAAAGATTGCGGTATGCAAGTGCTCGGGCGAATGTGAATGACATTTTCTCCTTTTTTTCAGAAGCACTACAAATGGACAATTTAATCTCGAATCCAAACGAAGGGGGTGCGTAGAAAGAAAACACGCACGCAGCGGTAGTGTCCAAGTAGCCCGCTCCTGTGTCCGAATCGTCCAGGAGTGCACTCGATTTCTCAGATCTTGTCGCAAAGGTTCACGGTTCGAATGCAGCGGCCGCCCTGGTTGACGCTGCAGTGTGTCTTAACAGCTTTAAAATAGTCGTCGTCTGCTTCGCAGGCAAAGTCGTCAAAAGGGTATCCTCTGATGTCAAAAACAAGAGTAGGCCATTGTGTGCAAGCTTCGTGGTCCAAATTGGCCAAGTGCAAAAGATCGCCTTCAAGTTACTCGATTGGAATCTACACAGCAGTCATCGCCCCCCTCCCCACCCTACTGTGAAAGCGTGGCAGGACTTTTCTGGAAAGGAGTTTTGAGACTCGGTGAGGTTTTCCTGGGTAAACAAGCAAAGTCAATTATTAGTAATGAGGTCGTGCAAGCTCAGCAGGAATTTTTGTACCTGGATAGCATTTGGATGGCCAACCACCACCGTGCATAAATCAGGCCTTGGCTTCTGTGCGACTGCCTTGTGGGCAGCAGCAGAGGGGGACCTTGACTTAAAGCTTTCGTGACTGCAGGAATTCATATTCTTTGGGGTTTTCGGTAAAGCCATGTAGATAGATCAAATAATAAAAAATAATAACAATAATAAATATAAAATTGTTATTATTATTTTTTTATTTGATCTATCTATGTGGCTTTACCGAAAGATCCAAAGAATATACAGAGGGGGACCGTGCAGCAAAATCCATTGGTGTACCGTACTGAGTTCCCATATCTACTCTAACCACCTTCATCAACCTGCACTGACCAGTGTGGTGATGTACGGTCAAGTAACTCCCATGACCAACGGCGTGTGGCGAGGCCTTCGTCTCGCAGTGGATTGACATAGGAATATAAATGAGTACCGTAGTTTAAAAGTGTATTGGTGATTCAGCACGTGAGAATAAGGAGAAACATGTTCGCAAGTAACCCCACGAGAATGCAGCAATTGCAAACCTTATTGTCACTTTTAAGTCTCTATCAGGTGCGAAATCTTCAAACTGTAGTCAGACGGAGCGAATGTTTGATTTTGGAAAACGTTGTCCTTCACAAGATGTGGCCCCTCCTTCAAATGTACCAAAGTGTGGTCTGTTGCATACAATCGTGCCATCCAGGGCGGTTGGTGTGGGTGATGGAAAGGGAGCGATAGAGAGACGATGTATTCTCACTGACCGTCTGTTTTCTCGTTGCCAGGATCTGGAATGCCGTGACGGATAATTTTGGAAACGTGATGCCGGTGGACTGGAGCTCATCTCACGCACGGACCCTGCAGATCCCAACACTCAACATGAAGGAGCGCTTCGTACGTCCCCCACCAGCGTGATTTTTTTACCCACACACAAAGACAAAGGTCCCCCGTATAGCCTGAACAGCAGGTGAATGATAATAGTAGGAAAAAGTTGAAGAGCAGCATTTCTCAAGTTGTGGGTCAGGATGCCGATGGATGTCCCATTTGTCACTCGAGCGTATCATGACTCGGGCTGATAACAAATAAATATGACAACACACGTTTAATCGTGCACATGCAATAACATTTAAGTCCCGTCTGTTGTCAAAGTTGCTTGTGCTCAAATCTCTTTGAATCTCAAGGCTACGGCATCTGTAGCTCATTGCCATCGCCCCCACCCCCATCTCATGGTGAGATGGGGGCTGGGGGCGATGAGCCCAGACCAGATATTTCAATTATAGGAACCACATGAGGTGGCACAACTTTATTGCTTCCAATTTCTTTATGTGGCCGATGATGGTGAATTTTGTGATAACGACTTGAAACGAGTGGGTCGTCAAATAATTCCCTCTCATTGGCCATATGAATTAATTAGTCCTACTAACGTTTTTCTACATCAAGTGCTACCAATTTCTGCTCTGGCTCATGGACTAACACCACAACGCAGTCGGTCAACAGCACGGCGACCAGTCGGGGAGTTGTTCAGCCACAGCAAAATAAAATAAAACCAGATCTACGTTTGGAAAGCGTTTTAGAAGCGCCGGTCCGGGAGCAATCGCTCCGACCTCTCGATCTGACGGTCATTGGCGGTGACGTCTCCTAAAAATCCCGGACCTCCCACGCTGCCGCCTTAGCAGTCGGCGGCCGCGGGCAAGTCCTGTCCCTCCGGCAGGACACAATGTACGCCGCTGTTCCGTCCGCTCGAACCCGGACTATAAAGGCCACGCGGCGAGAGCACTACAAGAGAGCTGTTGTGCGTTGGTCCGTGTCACGGCCATAGAATGGCACGCGAGATAGATAGTATGTCTAAGCCAGCGTGACCCTTATGTTGTACAAACTCTCCATATAGCTCTCCGACGCGTGTTTGGGTGGTTACCGCGTGTTGTTCGGCACGATGTCCGACGTTTCGCTCGACGTGCTGGGAGCCTCGTTGCTCTAAGTAGGTTAAATGGCTCTGTTTCTCACCTGATCTCAACTGGACACACGTCGGAGGGGCTGTACATCACAACCACAAAACCGTACGCTGTAGCACACAACTCTCTGCGTTGCTCTCTACCCGGCTGTGCTTGATGGATCGTTTAGAACAAAAATCCAGTGCGTTTTAAGGATTGAGCGGTGGTGCAGTGGTTGGGACACTTTTATATGAAGCCAATAGGTCTGGTTTTCATTCCCCAACCCTAGCCAACATAAGTGGCGATTGGTATCGGTGAAGTATGGTAACGCGACTCGCATGACCGACACGGAGAGGGGAACCCTTCGAGTGTTGGGATTATTTTTTGGATGCAAGTTATTTGTATTCATCGCCACCCTACCGACGATCGCAGTGCATGTACTCTTCACCGTGTGGCTCTTTTAAAGAAGTAAGAAGAACGAATGCTTTTGAGGCTGCCGTGATAGTCGGGCTGAGGAATTCTCAGTACGTCTTGATAGGCAGGTCGCTGTGTTGGAAACAAAACAATGATTTTAATAGATTTTAGTCTTGTCTTCGCTTAGACATGAATAGACATAATGGCATTAAAGAATGTGGTAATTATACAAACATGTTTAGCGAATTGCGCTGCAAGGCTGCGGTGTTAAATTAGATTCTGTGAAAGGAACAATATAATGGTAATGCAATCTTTTTAAAATGTGCACTTGATCTTTTGATTAACGTAAGCCTTTCTTTGTGGAAAGGGGGTCGCTCCGTGACTATTGTACCACGTACAATGGACTTTAGAACAATACTTGAATCAACATATTTAAAAGCCACACTGAGTATTATCACTAATTTTCTACATAGTCAAATTTTGTTTCGTATCTTGACGAATAAACGCATTCATAATAAAGCGTACGGCGTTACCTTCACATGACTTGCTTAGTCATTGTGCGGTCATTTAAAAGCTTTGTCAGTTTTCTTATTCAGGCCACTGCAATGTAAGGTGCTGAAATAAAAATCTAAAATGGCCTCTCCATTTAAGGAAGAATATCTTATTATAATAATGACGAGTGAATAGTTAGTGCATCTTGTATTCACCCCATTCGTATAATGCAAGGCTATCTTGTAGCCACTGTTTCACAGTATAGTCTGCTTGGAGTGTGTAATGTTGCTGTGTGGTTTTTATTTAATTTGCAAATTAGGCCATTTCTATGCGATTTTCAAACTTGGCAAATTTGAACCGCAACGCTGGCACACATGGCCTTCTCTTATTCCGCAAACCCTCCCGCAAAAAATAAGTGGCAAACGCGCGACCGCCCGGCCGTGTGACCGCCACACAAACTCCGTGCGCTTTAACGAGCGCTTCGGTGCCGTGCAATGCGCGTGCGTGCGCCGGGTCAGTCGCGTTTCCATCCCACGCGTGTGCACGCACCATGGTCTCCCAACCAGACAGACTCCTCGTTGGGACGCGAGATTCCATGCGAGTTGTCACTTGTCACGCTCGGTCAGCGTCTCGCGATCGCCCCTTGTTCGTTTGCGTTAGGGGCGGCAACCGGGAGGAGTGTGAGGGCGCGTGTGGTGGGCCCGAGAGCCCCATCTCGTGCACCGCCGATCGAAACCACCCTCACCTGCCTCTTGCGCCAATGACCGCCTTATAATCGGCGCTCGCCGACGGCACTTGCCGCGGCAATCTGCACGGCGTCGTAGCTGTCTCTTACGCCGGTGGACACTTGCGAATAGTCCACGGTGCGATGCGATCGCCGGTCTCAAACCACGGACCACGGTACGCCATGCTGCCCGTTTCGATCGTTAACCAGCAGCGTTCATGATATTCACCAGGGTACTCCTGAAGCCGTTCGCTGGCCCACCGACCCCCGACATGGCCAACTCGACGCTTACAAACATTGCTGATCAACTCCCCCGCCATACGAAAGAAGAGGAAGAATCATTGGAAGAGCTTGATCGTTTGCATGCGCTTGTTTTAAAACGTACGAATTTTTTACGTCAAAGCAGTAGCACAGTTGGGTGAAGCCTACTTGGAACATCATCAAAATGAGAGGTAATGAATCCTTACTGAGGACCAAGCAGAACTTTCAAATACCTTTGTCATACATTAGCATACACAAACCTCAGTTGCTCAGTTACTTATGTCCACTGCAAGAGGCAGTGGCAGTAGTGACAGCTGGAATTTTACACACAGTGTTGCCAAGTCGAAAATATTCCTCCCGAGTACCCGATTAGTGCGGCTAAGATGCTGCTTGCAGGGGACGGATTGAATATTGTTTCTAAGTGGTGGGCCTCATGTGGCCACGGACAATATGATTATCACGTCATGGGCCGTGTTAGGTACTTCAGTACCGTGCCTGCATGCGGGAACCAGGTGTCGCAGGCACTTCCAATTAGCACGGTCGGCTACATACGGTGCCAAAGAAGTTCAACATACATGCGTACGGGGAGACTGTCCTGGGTGTTTTTAAAACGAAATTCGATTGATTGTTTCGCGTGCATTGTGTTAGCTGCGACTGTGGGGAGTCTATAGCAATGGGCAGCAGACTATCTCCAGCTCGCGTTTAATGTCATTGGAATATTGTTTGATTTTGGACTTCGTAGGTCGCCATAAATACAACCGAGTGTCGCGTTGCGTCAAGGCTGCACCCCAACCTGGCGTCACCCTCTTCCTGGATGTCGGCGAGCAAAAATCGCTCCACCCTCTCCCGCTCTTTCTTCCTCTACAGCGTCCCCCTCCTCGTATTTTGCACGGGCTCGTTTAACCGTGATCACACCGACGTGCGGAGCGCTCCTCGCAACGCCGCCGGGTGCCGGCGACGTTGACTCGAGAACCGCAGGCCCGTGCGCTAGGTAGCGCGTGCGCGAACGAGCCAAGAGGCCGCCTCGCCGGCGTCGCGCTCGTATTTATTTTTGAGTTCCCCCTAGCCAGCGCGTGCCGGCGAGCTGGTCGTTACGGGCTCTCGCGCTGGGGCGAGTGCCACGCCGCTGCCGGCGAAGGCGGCTACCCAACGATGATCTCATCCCGCGCAGCCATAATCCCCTAGCGAGACGCATCGCGGTGACGACGGCAACGTTCTTGTTTACATTTTTTTTTTACTTCGCCCATTTTACGGCCACGCGTGGCGATGAGTCGTAGTGGCGCCTGTCTGCTCCCGTGACGCCCACCTCGTAGAATATCGGCAGGAGAGCCATTGGGAATATTCTCGGAAATAACTAGCAGCTATTGAATCATGACATCATTGTTGTTGCCGTTTGGAAGCCCGCTGCTCTGCACCGTCATATTCTGTCTGCCGGTCGCTAGGACGTGCGTTGGGACGAGAGGGCTTGGGGAACTTGAGCGTTGCCGGTTCGATTGAGGGACGAGAGATTGAAAGTGGGAAGACAAATATTTATTTAATCTGGACGACGTTTTTGATTGCCGAGGTCGAGATGATGTTTGCCGGACCTCGTATTCGTAGCTCGGCTGTGGCAGTGCTGTCGCAGCACATTTTCCGCAGCATGACCGTGACACGTCTGGAGCCGGGTATGAAAACAATCGATAATAATGATGTTCAGTTAATCAGCAAAACCTTGCCGAGTCTCAAGGCTATTTTTCAGCATTGGGATTCTCAGAGTGACGTTCCAGCTCTCAGAACATAAAATGTCGCGAAGACTGTCATACGAAGAACATTCATGTGCGTTAATACAGAGGGGTTGAAAAGAACTGCTCCCTTCTGTGTGGATCAGAGATTATTTAAAGGGATCACAGGGGGGTACCTCTGTGATATCCGCTTCTGTGGACCGTTCTTGTAGCACAAAGGGTTGGACCGCTCTGTGCGAGAGGTCCCAATGGATCTTTGGCTAACCTGGGTACAAGTGACGAGTAATATTCTTGAAAAAAATATAACACCCCCCCCCCCCGTGTTCAAGGTGGCAAGGCCGTGGGTTCAAATGCTCATTGGGATTAGCCCACCTCATTGCATCGCTTTCGTTCCTACATGGTGGTTAAATTAGAACTTCCAAGTGGGAAAGTAGCAATGGTCCCCGAGTGGATCGTTCGCTTTGTGACACGACGTGGAAAGCGCATTTGGGGATAAATTTAAAGTGGGGGCGGGGGGGGGGCGAGCAAAATTTTTTTTTGAAAATAAATCATCACGAGGCTGTCTGTACGTGCGTGGAATACGCGCCCGTGTGCACAGAATCCCTCAGCTGCTGCAGCTGCATCCCTGGGGGGCACCGACCCCCCCCCCAATACCCCCCCCCAGTCTCCCACCCCTCTAACCCCCCCCCCATCGGGCTGCTCCTCCGTCGCTCCTCAAACCAAACTGGCGTGCGTTACCAAGGCAACGGTACTCAGCGGGCTGCCACGGCAACACGCACGCTATTGGCTGTTGGGCTGAGGCGATGGGTGGGACGACAGCCCTGGCTTTGTGAGAATGAATACATGAATGAGCGAATAAATGAACGGATGAATGAATGGATGTTGTGAGAATTGTAACTGCAGCAGTACGAGTAGCAGAGCGCCGATTTCGTCGTCATCTAGATGCGGTCCGTCGGCGTGTTTACGCTGCGATGACATCGTCGTGAGCCCTGATCCTCGAGTGCTGCGTGATTTAAACTGGCTCGGATACCACTCAATGTTCCCGCATCAAATAATAATGAATAGAATAATAATGATAAGTTAAAGCCCTTGGTCAATTCACTGCTGGAGGAAGGCCTCCCCGTATCAAGAGGTAATGGGGAGTTATTTTTCCAAATGAAACCACTATGGTCAGTGTGGGCGAGTCAAGGACCAGCCCAGGACAGTTTCAGATATAACTCCATACAGACATTAGCTGTGGCCAGGATTCGAGCTCGGGTTGTTGGGTTCATAGCGCAAACTATTGCGCCTCCGCTCTCCCAAATCTCGCTATCCTGTGTTCTTATACCACTGCCGGAGTATGTATGTACGTCTTCTTGGTTCTTTCGGTAATATCACGTAGAAGGGAAATAATAAAATAATAAAAATTAAACAATACAATAAGATACACATTTTATTGTAATTTTGTATTTTATTATGATGTTTATGATGTTTTATTTTTATTATTTTATTATTTCCCTTCTACGTGACTTTACCGAAAGAACCAAGAAGATGAATCCCTGCAGTCACAAAAGCTTTAAATGGGAATGTATGTATGTACGTTGAACTCCTTTTGCACCGTACATCGCCAACCGTGCTCATTGTAGTTTAGAAGTGTTTACGGTCGTCATGCCCCGGTTTGCGTCGGGGATGCGTTCCTGAAAGGTGCGGCGATGACGATCGTAACGACATCAATCGAAGCAACTTGCAGAGTCGTAGTAGTGGGTGGTGGTGGCGGTAGAGGCGAAGGTTGATAGCGAGAAAGGAGGATGATGCCGTCAGCGATGTGAGTGTGTGGGTTGAGGCGACGCAAGGCGGGTAGCGGTGTTGATGATAAAGTGACGACGAATTTGCGAAACGACTTAAAAGTGGGAGACGTAAATTGGGCTGTTACTGTTTCACAGTATTTGGCTGCTATAAATATCTACGTGAATAGTCACTTTAAAAAAAACTAGATTGCTCAGTGGGTCTTAGCTGGTAAATGCTATTTATACATCACATGGTTCAGTGGGTGAAATGTTACTTAACAGTATGACACTGAAGAGTCTGGCAGGTAGTGATAGGGGATGATATGATTGATAAAGGTGTGACTGAAGCCCATTTCGTCGGCTGAGCGGCAGGCAGTGATTTGCAGATAAGCGCAGCGAATACCACAATCGCCGCTTTGCGTACAAGAAGCTTCATTGAACCCGCTCTGAGCTCATTTATAATTAAATCATTTGCCATTCACTGACATTACTTTGATGATTACCCTAATTTCCCTGCACCATTATAGGCACGTCCTAGGACTTGCTGTTGAGGACAATGGAGTGGATTGCCAATCAAGATGAATAATTAAAACGGGTCGTATGTCATTACTTGTCATGCCACTGCTGGATGAAGGCCTCCCTACGTCGTGTCATTTGAGACTACTTTTAAATTGACCATACCTCACCGTGCTCGTCTCAGCGCGGGTTGGCGAGGGTGGGAGGCCCAGGACCAGTTTAAAAAATCGCTCGCCACTGGTGTTAGCCGTGGCCAGGAATCAAACGCGGGTCGTTGGGCTCATGGCGCGGTGTGCTCTCCGCTGCACCACTCATCCACCGCTGTTCGCATTACTGGAGTGGAATTTTCCAAGTTGGATTACACAACGATTGGGCCATTTGGACACTACATCGTGCAGCTTGTGGTTTGTATTTTTAGTGTAACTTCGTACATTTCGATGTTACTCTTCGCGCTTCCCCGCACCTATGAGCACGGTTGGGTACGTACAGTGCGAAAGAAGTTCTACATTACATATAAATGAATGCCACTGATTCAGGTGGCACTAGACTATCACACGTGGGATATAAACAGGTTCCATTTTGCCCTTGCGGTACATTTAGAACACAATAGGTGCTTTACCGAAAGACCCAAAGAATATAATAGGTGCTTTTGAATCTGGAGTAAAAAATATAAAATACTAAATGGTAGCTGGAATTGATTCTCACATGGACTGTTAAGAACATACAGGGCTTTATTTCAGTAAGGTCTGTTTGGGTCACCAACCATGTAAGTATTTCCTCACCTGGCACACCATGTCCAGTAAATGTGGCTACTGGTCACGCGACTATTCCAGTCAAACGTCGGCCTGCAAAAAACGTCATTGAGAAATCAAGCACTGGATGCGCGTATGAGGAGCGTGAGAATCGATTGGTATGCCGCACGAAGGAGAACGTGGAGATAATGATGTTGATGATGATTGATTGAAGTGCGTTGCGTGTGATTGGCAGGAGCCCGAGGGCATTACACTCGACCTGTCTGATGATGAGGAACTCCGAGAACAGCTGGACATGCACTCCATCATCGTGTCGTGCATCAACGATGAGCCCATCTTCACTGCCGAACAGGTGGGGGGACCTTCTCGCGCACGCGCTCGCTCACATTCGCACGCACAGTGGCCGCCCGCGTAGCCTTGAACGCAATGCAAGTGCTGCTAGCGAGCACCTCATCAAGGCCAGCACTGCCTTACAAGGGTGTGATGTGGCCAGGTATCACATCCGGGGGTCGCCTTTTGTCTCCCCGGTGTTGATGTTTACACACCACTCCAGGTACTCATTTTAGGCTAAGTCGTGGGAGACCCAGCATCGGATCAGATAATCACCACTGCTGTTTGCCATGGCCGGGAATCAAACTTAGGCCACCGGGTTCGTAGTCAGTGCGCTAACGACTATGCCGCCGCTCCCCACAAACACCACACGCAAACACCACGCGCATACGCGTGCACATGCAAGAACATACTAATTCATGCATATATGCATCCAACACATTCACAGGCAGATGCACACGCGCAAGCACTCACACAAACGCCTGCATTATGCACTCACCCTCGGGAGGTAGACCTTTGTGTCATTATCCTTTTAAGTAGTCGACACAGGCGAAACAGATGGAGAGGGCCCGCTTAACTTCCCCTCTCCTCCGACAGTGCGTTCCATTCACGACGCTCTAGGGAGGGGCGACCGGCGCTCCTCTAAGGTTAACACAGGGGTAGGGAAACCTTCAACCCGCAGGCCGGATGCGGCCCGTGACGTCGCTCGCGTCATACGGCTGGCCCGTGGCCGTATGAGGCCCTCCGCTTTGAAATTCCTATTCGGCCCTCAGTAAGGACGAGCTTCCACCACCCCCTGCGCTATGGGACTCACAGAGTGACTTACCCAAGGCAGCCACTGCAAGCATCTTAGCCGCGATAATCGGGTGCTAAAGGGCAATTTATCTTCAACATGGCAACGCCGTGTGTTCCTTATCGTATCACGCTCAAATCACTTCTGTCACTGCAAGGGCCTCTCTTGGCAGTGACGTAGCGTTCCGGCGCGTGTGCTAACGTGTGTCCCCCGCCAAAGGTATTTTCAAAGTCCCGTTCGACACCTCGGTAAAGAGGAGCTCCCCCCCCTACCTCCACCGCTGGGTTCGCGCGACGGCGATGGGGACCCTTGCGCGGCCGGTAGTGACGCACGTCTCTCGCGTCCGCAGGTGATCGAGGAGATCGAGGAGATGATGATGATGCAGGAGTCTCCGGACGGCGAGGAGGAAGAGGAGGAGACCCCCACGCAGTCCGACCGCCTTTCTCTGCTCTCGCAGGAGATCAACGCCCTGAAGCGATCGAGCACCAACAACTCCTGCCAGGACCGTGCGTATTTCCCACGCCCGTGTTTACTGCGTGGTGGTCACCCACACACACCACACGCGTGCTCTCCCCATGCTCCATCCTGCTTAGCTTCTCAAGTGTCTCCGAGCGTGCTGTGCCACACGACACCATCACTGCCATCATCGAGGTCAATGTGGTCATCGTCACTGTCATCAGCATCGCCACCGACATTGTCTACATCACAATCGCTGTCGCGATCACGATCGTCATCGCCAGTTTCATCGTCATGGCCACCATCGGCACCATCGTCATCTGGACTTTTATATGAGCAAGTGACCTATTGCACGATAACCTTTGCCACAACAGTCACATACATGTACAGCCCTTTATTCGTTCCGCTGCTGGATGAGACAACACCTACGCCGTGTGGGTCATGGGAGTTGTTCGTCATACTTCACCACGCTCGTCACTTTTTATGTATAGGTACATCCTCACCCAGCACACCACATCCAGTATACCCCTTGCTATGTCTGTGGCTGCACCGGTCACGTGCTACTCCAGACTACCAGCGACAACATTAAATATTAATTGAGGAAGTAAACCCTGCATCCTCAACTCTCATTGGCTTGCGAAGAGCAAGCGTTTATCTTCCTCTGCTGGATAAGTGCATCCCTCTCCAAAAGCCCTGCCAGGTGTTGACGATGTTTTGTTTATAATATTATTAATAGCTTCATGCTATAAGAATCATTGCATTTTCTTTGCATGGGCGCTCAATTCATGGATCGAATTTTCGAAATTTTAAAAAAAGCAGATTACTCACTTGGAATGTACATATCAATCATCTCCCCTCCTTCACTGCAAAAAAAAATGTCTGGATCCTGCTAGCCGGGAGACTCGGTGAGGCTTTCCTGGCTCGGCAATCGTAGTATCAGTAGGAATAATAACAAAACATTCTTAGAACTTTTCAGTGACAAAGAAAGCCGCCCGCATCTTCACCCCCCAAAGTGGACGTGTCCGGTGTCGAGCAATGCAGGCTTTGCACGCGTAGACGGGGTTAGAGGGCCAGTCACAGCAGTCTCCTTTCCCGGTTTGCGTCCTTCAGTTCGGCCGTCGGAGAACGCGGCCAAGTAGCGGTGCGTTCGCACGTTCACGCAGCGCGAACGCACCGCCAACCCAGCCCACTCCGTGCGGCGTCGCCGTTTTAGTGCCGCCGCTGTGTCCATTGCAGCTGTTCGTGGTCATTGTCGTCGTCGTCAGCGGCCACGATCAGACCACTGCTGGGTGAATGGTTCCGCAAAGCCGTCGCAGTCTCTCGCGGTCCCGCGATGTCACAATCCACCCGGCATCTGCGCACTGGTTTCATCGCTCCATCTTCGCGGTGGATGTCCTCTTCGTTTTTGTCGAGCGTGCCGCTTCCTTGCTGTCTGTCGCCCGTTTTTAATTTAGCTGTCTTGTCTCCTCTTGTCCTGTCTGTCCGCGTGCCCCTTGCACTCTTGCAACCGCAGCTGTGCCGCCAGGTAATGTCACCGAACACTTTGCCGCGTCCATATTCCACCTACCACCGCCACACGCTTCCCATTCTCGCCAGCGATTGAGCGCGTCCCTGTCGCCCGCACGCGGGAGATGTCTCACACCTCCCGTGGTGGACGGCGTTTCACTCTTGTTTTGGGGATTTCCCCCCCCCCCCTCCACCGCTGGCCCAGGTGCCCCGTTGATCCGATAAGACAGCAGTGGGGCTTAGTTCCATACGGCCCACGCCCACACGAAGCCCACCACTTTGAACTGGCAACCGAACAGCTATTTGTCCGTCACTGTGAGCATGTTAGCCGCACTAGTTGGATGCTGGAGGGGAATTTTTTCAACCTAAAAAAATTGTGTTTTCCAAGTATAGCATGCTCAGTGTAGGCAAGCCCTATTTATCTTACGTATGATTTCATGTGTGGTTCGCCAAATCTATTTATAAATCCTATTTGGCCTTGGTTGAGAGTTGACGCAGCCCATCATCCCTTCAGGGCCAGTAAAACGAGTACCCACCTTGTCGGCAAGTCTGCAGTGGTTGTGTCCTATGACTAGACCAGGGGTTCGGCAATAAAGATAACAAGACGAGCCCTTTTTTTGTTGTTCAAATTCTGAAGAAAAAAAAAATTTCAAGAGCCGCAATGCATGTGAATACGAGACAGTGGTGGTGGTGCTTAATAAATAGCGTCAGGTTGTCGACCCCTGGGCTAGATGCACCCCCACACCCCATAGGAATGAGGCTCTGCAGGGCCCGTAGCCAGCGAGGGTGGGGATGAGCACCACCCAATGTCTGGTTGCTCGCTTGAGCAGGAAAAGCACATTGGCTACGTGGCCCTTGGTAAGGAGAACGTGGCCTCCGACCCGTCTGTGCTACGGGACTCACGGTGCGGCTGCCCATGGCGGTCGTGCATGTTGGACAAAGAAAGCCGGCCCTGAAACAATGCCGTCGGCATGCCCGCCCCCGCCCCCCCGCCCGCCCCCCGCATTGGAAATGTGCATGCTCGATAGCGGCGAGGTTGTCAAGATGTGCCTATGTGTGTGCTCCTTTTCCACCCCACCCCACCACCACCACCACCGCCATCCTCCCCAACGCCATCCCGGAATGCGAGGTTATTATAATAATTGCGGCGCACTCCCGAGCTCATGTTATCCATCGTGCGTTCGTTTATTTGCATGAAAGCCGGTGGCGGCTAATAGCATGTATGTATGCATGCTTGCATGGAAACAAGGGCCGTTGTTACACTCATCACACCAACCACAGCAGCAGCAGCAGCCTGTAATGGTACAAGCTGCACCTTGTCTGTTGACCGCTGAAATGGAGACGAATATGATTGTGTGTTTTGGCATGTGTGTGTGTGTTTTTTATGGGGAGCGGTGGCGCATCGGCTAGCACGCTGGGCTATAAACCCAGCGACCCGAGTTGGATTCCCGCTCACAGCCAACACCAGTATCGATTATCTGAACCAGTTCTGGGCCTCCCTTATGTCGGCTCAGCCTCTACGGACTACCTGGTGCGATGTGTACACATCGCCACTGGGGAGACAAAGGCGGCCGGGCATGGTGCTGGCATACCGACCCCCTCGTGTGCCGTGCCGGCCTTTTAGGTGCTCGCTAACAGCACTTGCAAAAAGAGTCCGTTAAAGCTATACGGGGGATCTTTGTCTTGTTTGTGTGTGTGTGCGATGAATGTGTTGTTAAAATTTAATATTTCAATTGTTTATCTTCTCAGCCTGTTAAAACAATCGCATTACATTCGGTTATTGTTTATTATACCCCGTATCACGTGTACGCTTGCGTGCATGTGTGTTGCTGTTTCGGAAGCTTTTTAATCAAAACATCCGGGTGGCCGTAATCTCTTCACGATTCCATTTACAAAGAGGCGGCCGCTCTCCGCAGTGGAGCGGGGTGTGGGGGAGCAGCTGCCATGCTGGGGGCCCTGTCATGGGGGGGAGGCCCAACGGATTTTGGGTGTCGCGGCGTTTCTGCGGTGCGTGCATACGATTGTTGTAAGCATCGGCGGAGAAGCAGAATTTATTTAATTTTTTTTACTATTTCTGAGCGGTTGCGGTCGTGAATAATGCATGAGCCGACTCGTCTGTTCTGTCCCTCCCCGGCTCTCCCCCGTTGTTTTTTTTTACCACCTCCCCTCCCGTCTCCGTCGTCGCGACGAGTCTGGACATTTCGACAGGGCTCGAAGCGACGAAATCTCATTCCAGCGCGCGTTGTTTACGTTGCCTTCCCCTATTTTTTTTTTAGGATATGTGTCTCTCCCCATTATTTTGTACGCGTCTTGCCGGCACGCGTGATTAAATTGGCCGGCCGTAATGATTTCTCAATTTCTACCCCGACGGCACTAACTTTTTTCTCCGTGCGATACAGATTATTGTTATATATATATGTCCAACTCGCCCCCCGGTTTTCGCAAACGTTAACGGCTTAGGCGCGCAATCCTCACACGCACACACGCACTCGTTCTCTATTGCTTCCATTCCCGGCAGGCTGTGGAGTTACGTATTGTAGTGTGTGCGCGTGTCTTTTTGTATCTCGAACTGTGCGTTCACTGCGCGGTGACGACGACTGTAACGCAGATGTCAGGGGACGGAATCTGCCGTTGCGTTCCGCGCAAATGGAGACGGAGATTCCCTTCATCTAGCTGTGACCAGACCGGCCGGGGTGCTGTTAGCGAGCACCCACGGTGCACAAGGGGATGATGTGGCTGGCGCCACGCATAGCCTCCTTTGTCTCCCCAGTGCCGAAGTTTGCGTACTGTACCAGGTACTCCTTTCAACTGGAGTAGTTCTGATCACACTGATTTTAGCCGTAGCCGAGGATTTAACCCGGCTGCCTGGGTTCCCCACCAATAGAGCACACAACAACAACAACTGCCATTCGCCACTAAGTGGCGGTGACGTCACCACGACGCTTGTGCCAGGCCATGTGCACCTTGAAGCCACGTGAAGGGTCGAACGCCCGCTGAGCACACACACAGACTCACAGCCATACTCACATCACAATGAAACAGTCATGAAGTACCTACCCACGTATCGACTTGTCTGCCTATCCACCTATTTACCAAGCTTTATCCACCGACCAACAGATCCACCACACCTTCCTGCCTACCTATCAACTCGCCTATCACCTCACCTACTAACTGCCTTCCCTCCCACCTATCTATCAAACCTATCTATCCATCCACTTTCTTACCTGCCCACCTATCAACCCACCAACCTACCTCTTCATCCACTCTCCTACCTGCCAACCTACCTACCTACCAACATATCCACCTCTCAGCCTACCCAAGACGAGTGCTGCACTGCAGGCACCAATACGCCGGTGTATTTTTCAACCGTAAAAGAGAAGCTGGCTTGGCCCACGCCCCTGAGTGCCGGGCGATTGTCCGCCGCGTTGTGGTTGGACGGGCGCCACCGCCACGCGCCGACCGGCCTGCGACCCCTTTCTCACCGCCACGCTGCTCGAAACAAGACTGGTTAGCGTGGCCTGCGATAGCGGTGGATTAAATGGTC